TGTGATTTAAATAGCATGAAGAGAATTTGGAGTTATACCACATGTTAAATATTGCTGTCGAAAATGAGTAACGAACTTAAGTTTTTGTCCTTCTGAAAACCTATCCCTCATTTTTAAATTATTTCAGTACGACGAGCTTCGCTATTGCCCTGAAAGTATCTTTTAGTGGAAGAAGAAGAATTTTTCTGTTCTTTGAAAGTGTCCAACTTTCTCTATGTAGCTTCGTTTGCAAACGCGAGGAAAGTTGATGTTAGCGAATTTCAGGTTAAAAATTAGGCCAGTCTGAGACTCCGACATCGAAAACCGATCTTCTAATTTTTCTCACAAATAAAAGGCAATGCCAAAGCCTGTGGAACAGTAGTTAACTACACAAGTTTTTTAAATCGTTGGGTTAAGTTTGCCAATACTAACAAGTTAGTCGTGTTTCCTGTCTCCGTGGTTGATGCGGCTCTATATTTTAGCCACTTGGCCACCTCTTAGGTATCAGCCTCTGTGATTGAATCTAGTTATTGTGCTTTAAAATGGGCTCATGATTTTGCGGGGGTTCCCAATCCTATGAGTAGCACCTTTGTCAAAAATATGGTGGAAGAGGCCAAGCGTCAAAATGCCAAACCCACTTCGAAAAAATCTCCCATTTTAAAGGAGGCCCTCACAGCATGTTGTATTAAACATAAGCATTCCGATGAATTGCCTATACGTAGGGACATTTCTATGGCCTTACTGTTATTTGCGGGGTTCTTCCGTTTCAGTGAACTAGTAGTCCAGCTGTTATCGACCAAAATTGTTCACTTTTATGATAAAAGCATGAACCTTTGCCAGATTACAACCAACCCTAAGACTAACATTTTCGGATATGGAGCCAAGCCAAATTCAACACTGGACACGAGTACTGCGCAGGCCCTAAAATGGCCTACATGAAAACAGGCTGTTAGTGGAAATCCTTCTAAAATACCATTTTTGAGTGTTTCTGTAAATAAAAGTCGTAGATATTGTGGAAGAAGACATTTGCTTTACTGTCATGCTTTCTTTGGTGTCACGTGACCCCTCCTTCCAAATATGGCGGGCTATTGTTGGGTGTCCTGTGCTGAAGCTGCCTTCTGTGCGTTTGTGATTAAAGGGGTGAGAAGGGGCACCTTTTCAGGCAAGTTCAAATGATAACACTCTTGCAACTATTGTCCAATTATCAACGGCTGTTTTTTACCATACAAATGCGAATCATTACATGAAAACGAGGCAAAATCTTTTCAGCGGTTTGAAAAGCCTCCAGTTAGCCCTGCGTGCAGTCATCTTGAGTTGGATTCACAGACCATTGCCTAAAAGGCTGAATTGATCAAAAATTGTGATCGCACGGCGTTTTTGCAGAGTTTTTTTTCTCCACAGACGACAACCGAAAGTCACATGACATAGACTTTTTCCTTAAATATGCCATATTGAAGGAATTGAAGAGCCCCCTTTTCTGATAGTTGTATCCTCAAGATAGTTGTAGATGTCACTGTATCTAAAGAAGCCGTTTTTCTTTCATTTAATGAGTTTATAGCAACAGACTGCCACGATATACCCCTAAGTGAAAGTTAAAACCTTTAGACTTGTATGCCTCAGAAGTGTTGTTCCCTACACATATCCCATTCATACACTGCTCGACAGGTATGTTGCATGAGCACTACTCGAGTTGACGAAACACTATGAAGGTCACTTTATCTTCTTTTTCACTTCTTGCCTCGTTTTATTGAAGATAATGAGGGCTGGATAAACAAACGCAAGTGCAAGTCAAAAAAACAATTGAACTAACTCTTTCACCAAACGCTTTTGTTTGCACTTAACGCTTGTCAACCAGGAAAAAACAAGTGCAGCCGACTTTCTAGCTGTCTATTTGGGGCTATCGTGAAACGTCACGTACAAACTTCACTCAAAAGGAGACGCAAGAGGTAGGGATGTTAATCGAAATGGAGAGCTTGCTCGCAGGCTAACGCAAACGCAAGGTAAAAAATGTCTGTCCGACGTGATGGGATCTACGATAATCAAATGGGCTTGTGTATCCCACTGTGCTTGAATTTGCATTGATTACGTGAAAATCGATTGTCCTTAATTTCTCTTTCAAGAAACATATCCCACAAATTTTTCTATTACATTCATTCAGTTGGCAAATGATGTCAGGGATCTCAACACCAATGCAAGCTTAGATCAGGACTCAACGCCCATTTTCTTTGGCGTCCATACTATACATGGATAACTAAAATAACTAGCATCGCCTCGCCTCGGCTCGTTGATGATCACTCAAACTAATATGAAATGTCTGGACCACGAAGTAATTGTCAGCCTGTTTCAGTTTATGCAAACAAGATGCAAGAGCGTTAACGTATGTTTGCTGGGATGTGTGCAGCACAGTTTTAAAGTATGCGGAATAAATTTCCTTAGTAAAATCTCATTTCACCATTTGAATTCTCATCTCCTTATTCATGGAAAGATTTCCCTGTTTCGGTTATTATTCTTCACCGATTTTAGAAGGGTGTTTCTGTTTTGCTTTGCACAAAAATGGATACACAAATTCGTTACTTGGTGCACCTACCGTCATTTTGAATAAGATGACGTGCGGTTATATAAGCAATGAATGAGCCACACCCTTCTTTTCAACTCAGTTCTGTTACTGAGCTGATGTTCATCTGGTACTGGTAAACTGCCTGCTGAGCATTTTGAACAATATGACGCTCGCGGAGTATGAGCTGAAACTAATCTTTGTCATTACACATGGCGTCAAATACCCCAAGCAGCCTGTCTACAGAAATAAGTGGCTCGTGGAAGAGATTAAAATGCTCCGGTTGCTATGAGAACGATGATCTTAGGGTTGAGTGGGATAATAAAGCCGCCCAAGTCACAAAACCCCATACGAATCTCTTCCTACCCGCTGCAAATCCTTAGCATTTTAAATTTTTCAGCAGTTTCCATTTTCATTGGTTTCTGATTAACTGGTCTGTTGAGGATACCCTCCTAACTCCCCTTTGATGTCTGTAGTAGAAAATTCACTCGTGGGTGTAAAGTTAGCGATAGACACCAGCTCTAATGGTTGGATGTTTGGCTATTTTTCTTTGATTTGGAACTTTTTGTCGCATAAAAGGTCAACTTCTCGGTGGCTGGATCGATGCACAAAACGTTGACATTATCAACTTTTGTGGTAGAAAAAGATAACATTTTTCTCGGCTTAGATGAGTACACGACCATGGATTTCATTTCTGTACCATTTTGAAATATTGTAGTTCTTCCAATATAATTGATTATGAGCCTTTCATATGAGGTACACTTTCCTAAATTGAAAAACATTAACCAAGAAGTCGATAATTGAATTTTAAAGTTTCCCTAATCATAAGATAACGAGCGTTCTTTGGACCCAAAGTGTACCGCTTTAGTGTTGCATCACGTCTAGTACAATGACTTGAAATGCTCAAATCATACACGGTTTTTTTGTGCCAATTATTCGAAAATTCTCTTTCAATCGAGTGGTATTGTAGTTTCCTACAGCTCGTGTGTCTAAATTGCAATTTATCTGAGAAATTTTTCAAGCACCGCATCTTTTGCTGCTGCTGCTCCTCAACCATGGAATTCATTGCCCTACGCGATTAGGAGTAGCCCCTCAGTAGCATCTTTTAAAAAGACACTAAAGACATTTTTATTTCAGAAAGCTGTGATTTTATGTGCTTTTTAATCTCGTTTTTAGTAGATTTTATGCAGTTTTTTTGTTTTTGATATCGGCGCCATATAAGTATTTATTATTGTTGTTATTATTATTATTATTATTATTATTATTATTATTATTATTATTATTATTATTATTATTATTAAAGATTACTGCACTCATTCAGATCAGGCGCAGCTACTACAGCAGCCAATACACAAGTCTTAGATAGATGCTGGAAACGCCACGGTAGATGGCGTTCAGAGACCGCCAAGGACGGCTATGTAGAAGATCCTCTTGATAATCGCTTACTAGTTACCAAATCTCTAGGAATTTGATTTTAGTTCCATTTTCACTCCCGTTCTTTATATTTCTATCCAGTGCAGCAGTCAGTTTTCCTATTTAACACGGAATGGTTTCATTGCCGTGTTTCAACAATAGGGAATAGGGAAAACTTGTTATTTGCTGTGGTTCTAAGAATAGCAGTAAATTATTGTGTTCACGGTTCCAGCTAATTGACAGCTGTCACGGAGACTCAAGTATAAAAGGGCGGGATTTTACTGAGGTGATCATTCTAAGCTGACATCGCTGCCTGAGTTTCGTTTGTCAATGCTTTTTCCTTTTTGTGTCATTTGAATTGATTGTCGTTGGTCGTTGATGTACTCATAATTTTGAATTCTAGTTCAACCTCTCGCCCTCGAGGTTCATGTTAAGTTTCTGGCTCTGCTTTCGGGAGGGTTCAGGTTTTTCCTAACGGGCAGCAGACACGATATAATATTTATTATCGATCAAAGAACTTTACTTGGAACTTGTTACATTTTTTCTACTTCACTGCCTTTGCAGTATCTAAGTGTTTGCATTTGTATGAATAAACGGGGACTGATGTTCGCATTACGCTGAGCTTCTATCCAGTGCAGCAGTCAGTTTTCCTATTTAACACAGAATTGATTTCATTGTTTTCACTGTTCACCGTTTCAACAATAGGGAATAGAGAAAACCTGATCTGTTCGTTGCACAATTATTAACATCAGAATGCTGTAGTGTACGTTCAAGTGTTTTTACCGATTACACGGCAAGAAAAACTAACGGTACGTCATCGGTGGTGAGTTGCAAGAATCATGATAACTCTAGTAATCGGGGTAACTTTTGATCAAGGGAAACAAAATTCAGTTGGAGTTAGCGGGGGAGGCCGAGGTTTCCGCGTTCGAGTTACACAGTACTGAGCTGTATGCTTCGACGGTGACAAGTCTAGCTAAGTCTTGTTGCCAAAAGGAGCTACATTGTAACATTTTTCTCAATAGAATGTGCCTGTTCTTCCTCGCTATTTTATAGGGAACTTGGCATATGTGTGTGCCGTACCCGAAAAGCCTTTATGGTGGAGACGTTTCCTCAAATCAGGCACGTAATTCTGGACGAGGTCCACAATTTTCAAGCTGAAGATGGAGATTGGCTAAGTAAAGCCAGAGGGCTCGTCAAAGAGCAGATCATTGAACGTGAATTTAGTCACTATGACTTCGCCTCTGACAATGAAAGTGTTTTGGCGTCTTTCAGGGAATTCGAAACTGAACTGGACAACTCTGATACAAACTGTGTCGCGGGACTTGATCCAGAATGCAGCATTTGCCAAAATGATGGCCCAGGCTATCTGTGGTGTTTCATGGACAGAGCTCAAGGTATTCATAAGTTGAAAAAAACAGGCATACCAGAACGTCTTCCCCAGACTTTTTTTCTGGAGAAAGTGATAAGGAACTCCGTACGGATCTTCAACCACGCCGAACAATTCCTTGATAGGCGAATTTGGCCTCACCCAGAATCACGTAGGATGCTCATGCTTAAAAAGTTTGAGTTGGAGCTATCATTATTGATGCAGCTGTTTAATGACCGTGAATGCTCTTGTCCGAAGAAAAAATTAGCGACAATAGGCCACGATTTCGACGGAGAACAAACTGAGGAAGAGTATTCAGAAGGAGAACGAATCGCTCGTTTGATTGAAATTCTTGATTCGCTGTCAAAAGACGGGTACAGTAAAGGCGATATCGCTGTTTTGTGTCTCACTAAACCCCTAGAAGACTATGAACTTAAACGTCTGCGAGAGTCTACTTTAACCGTGACCGCTGAAAGAAATGATGATGACAACAATATTGTTCTCAGCATCGTGAGGGAGTATAGTGGTTTGCAACGGCCTGTCGTCATTATCGTTGACGAGCCGTTCAAATCGTCGGGAGAAATGTGGCTTAATCGGGTAAAGTATTGTGCTGTCACTCGTGCAAAGGTGAAACTTATTACTCTAAAGAAAAAATCAAGAGGGCATAAAAGAAAAGAAACAAGTAACTATTGAGAAAACATTCTTAGCAGTTGGATAATGAGATTTATTATTCATTCAAAATATTTCTCCGTCTCTGATTGGCTAAAATCACACGCATGATTCATCATAACCAGCTACTGTTGAACAAATTTGGAAGAATTTGCGATATTGAACTGATGACGTCAATCGTGCAGCAGAATTGCCTGATTATTGAACTGTTAACCAAGAAGACCTGGAGACGAGGTTGAGTTGTTTTCGTAGTGATTACAAAAATGACCGAACATTTCACTCGTTTCCCGAGCAAGAAATAGGCGAGCTATTGGCTAAAAACAGCAAGAACAGCAAGAAAACAACTCGACGGACGACATCTGCTATTGGAGAATATTTGCGGGGCTGAACAACCTTTATCTCCTAAACTTTCCGATTAACATGCACTATCGGCATCGATGGAGGTAAGCATGTTTTGGCTTGTTTTTTAACTAGGAATTATTTTGAATGAATAATAAAACAATTTTTGAATTCGGCTTTCGTATCATCTGAAGAATTTGGAGATCTCGGAGGGTGTCGGCAGATAGCCTGTTTACAAAACCCTTCACAAATAGCATGCTTTTCCAACATCAAGATTAGACTTTTGCAATTCCCTTTTATATGGAATACCTCGGAATATTCTCAAAAGTCAGTTCAGAATGCAGCTGTAAGGGTTGTCACCTTAACAGGCAAAAGAGAACACATCACCCCTATTTTAGAAGGGCTCCACTGGCTCCCAGTTGAACAACGTGTTATTTTTAAGACATTACTAATAACTTATAAGGCGCGCTGAATAATCTTACTCCAACTTACCTCTCCGAATTAGTTATGCAGTACGTACCGAGTAGGAACCTTAGATCTTACAATACCAATCATCTCGTCAGTATGTCCTGTAATCTAAAAACGAACGATTACAGAGGCTTCTCCAACTGCATGAGCATGGATTGTCCTGGCACCGAGAAAACTGTCTGCAGATCTGCAGCCTCCCCAGAACGTAAGGTGCTGCCGTTGTCTTAATCAATTTAAACGTTGAGTTAAATCTTATCTTTTTAAGAAGGCTTTTAATTTATAATCATTCTAGGATCATATTTCCTACATTTTCTTTTTATTTGATTTTATTCATAGTTTTATTCATTTTAACAATATTGTAAATTTTAACGCATAGCTTAATTCTATTTTTTTAACAGTGAATTATTAAAAATTTAATTGTTGTTGTAAAGCGCCATTGGACAGCAATGGAAATGGCGCTATAGAGGTAAATTTATCTCTATTTTAGGGTACCGCTATTTTTTATGGGTATTGTTAAAATTAGAAACGGCATCTCTAAATTAATTAGCATATCGATCCATTTGTCAGAGGCTTGGTGCGGTCATATCAGTTTCAAGATGGCGAAGAGTAGACTCTCATGACGCATTCAACAGTATGGAAGACCTTAGATAACAATGACCTCAACCAGATTGTGGCGTCCAGCGGTTTTAGTGAAAATAAGGTTTTGGGGGATGAGGACTCAGTCTCGCAGGCTCATAAAACCTGGTCTCGGTCATTCTTATTTAAGGATTTCCCAACAGTGTGGTATTTCATTGGGAAGCGAAGAAATAGAAATTTTCAGGAAAAGATAGTTGAGGGAGCAAATCTCTGACTCAATTGGCTGTTAGTCCAAGCCGTGCTTGATGTTGTTATCTGTTACGTCTTATAAATCTTGGAGATTTCCTTGGATGTTTTCGAATTCTCTAACGATGCCGGGATGCGTGTCTCGTTGTAAATGTCTATCAGGGCCTCTGTTGCCTCCACCACGTTACTTTGTTGATCGAACGTGACGCCATCTTGAAATTGATCCACAATTTTCAACAAGGATAGAAAATTTGAGCACAGCACCGCTAAAAACGGATACCGGACCTCCACCTATTCACATGGTCTCGGAACCCCCTAAATTTTTGGTCACCCGTGCTCAACAGAGCTGCATTTACACGGTAAAAAGGGGTGCCGTGCAAAAACGTTCAAGCACGCGTGCCAAATTTTATGGTTGCCGTGCCCGAAACGCTTGTCGTGTAACCGAGGCTTTTGGAACCCGTTTAGGCTAATATGGGAAAATGCAAGCCCATAGGAAGGAAGGGGGCAGAGTTTCTGAAAAGAGCAAAACAAAACGAAACAACTTGCTGCCGTGAAGCGTTTTCAGTTCTAAACACTGGCCTCTGAGCCTTCCAACAAAGAAAACTCCTTTGCTCCACCCTCTTTCACCAAAAACCTCAGAAACGTTTTGCATTCCACGTGCCTCTTGAATTGGAATTATTTATCATCTCTTTTTTTGTGTAACGATAGATAACAATGCTCACTGCGCTACGAAAACAAATAATGTTTGATCGAAACTTTTACATTAAAATGTATTTACAAATAAGTGTACCTTTTAGCGAGACTTCGTTGAGAAGTAAATAATCTCGTAATATCTTTATTCATGGCTACATTAGTAAATGAATAATATGTCAATTCAAATGTTATTGTTTAAAGGCGCTCAATTAAAGGAGCTTAAAGTACATTTTTTTCGTTAAATTAAACTAGGTAGCATTTATCAGTAAGTTCAAAGCACTAAGAACAGTTGAAAATCTACATAGCACTCATCTGATATAGAATATAACATTTTTAAAAGGTAATTAAATAAAGTCTGAGAAATTGGTGGCGATATACCACCTATCATACAATTTAAAGTGTAATCTCCTCGTTAGAGAAATACGTAAAAGCTTTTCAAAGGTTTTTTTTTCAAAGGCATCAGTAGAGATCATGTGGTCTGCCGCCCCTTGAAGTTTTTACCTCGAAGTTAACCCTCAAATTTGGCATGATTTCCAGGAGAATCACCCGGCACTCCAACAGCGAAAACCAAGCCCATTCTGAAGTGGAAATTTTTAAGTGGAAGTTGGAAGTTAGCCTACGAACACAGCCATCTCTCCTCACTCCTTGCTGCTAGAGGCGAGGAGTGTGGAAAAAAGGCTGTATTCTCAGGCTAGTTGAAAGTTAGAAGTCGGAACTTGGCGGCAATCAGAAGATGGAAATCGGTGGTTGAAAACCCATAAACGTCACTTGCACATCTCCCATAATGCACCTTTGTTGTCCCCCAGAATTTTGCATAAGCATTATTATCAATTTCTCTTGGGACGTGCGGTAATACCCAGTAGAAATAAAAAGCAAAAGTAATGCAAAATTTTGGGGAGCAAATAAGGTGCATTATGGTAGATGTGCAAGTGGTGTATTCGGTTTTCTTTAGCCTTGATCTACAATTACAGACAAAGGTAGTTGGGAAGGTTGTACAACAGCCCATTTTAATCCACAAAAAGAGAGTTCACGCTTTTGCTAAATATCTCCCGTCTCTCCTATTCAATGTTGGGATATAACCGAACAATTACGTGCACAAATTTTAACGTTTTGCTCAACATTGGGCCAGGGGCGGGGGAAGGAAGGAAAAAAACAGGTAAAAAAAGTAGCTTCCTCCGCAGGCATCACAGTGCGACTGTTCTGTTTTTAGAGAACTTGTGGGGGAATGGGGAGAGATCTGGGAGTGGAAGTCTTTTCTCCTTTTCTCGTTTTCAGACTGTCCACGGTCAGTGTAATCGTTATATAAGGAGCTGCCTGCTTAAAACAGCAGTTTTTAAATCTAGTGCTCATTTATGGAAAACCACTCAATGTGAGAACCATGGATTTACTTACCCCCCGGTTAAAGAGAGATGAAGTTAAAATCCTCTATTGTCAATTCTCAGTATATTTTTTATAATGATCAAAAAAATTAAATCGTGGCGAAATCAATGATAAAACAAATCTTTTAACAGGATCGCATTTACAGATAAATCGGCCTGTTTGGTTTCCTTGCTGTCATTGAAATGAAAGAAAATTTTATGTTGACTATTTTGATATATAGGAAATGGGGTGGTTTTCTTTATCGTTAAGAAGTTATCAAGTGGGTGTCGGTTGGGGTGCTCAAAACACCTTCCCAGATACTACTGGAGATCAAATTCTTTGAACTGTATTATAGGGTTAATCCGATAACATTCATCTATCGGGGTTCATTATATATTCAAGAGATGAACTCGTTCAGAAACAACAAAACGGTGTAGTTTTGTCCTGAAGTTTTGGTTTGGGTCTTTGGGCAATTCCTCGTGATCAATACCAATTCACATTTCCATAGTCAGCGGAAAACATGACTGGCAAAAAGCGATGAGTTGAACGCCAGTATTGACGGAATCACATCGATCTGCCTGTATCCTTTAAAATAGCAGGCAAAGTCTGTGGGCTAGCTGAAAAATGAAATTTTGCCCATACTGTTTTATCCTCATACAAGTTCAATCCCTAAAAATGTCTTGCACTTGGTTGCACGGAGATGGAGTTGCCTAAAAACTGAATAAATTGGTAGCCTGTCGCACCTTAAAGAAATTTAAATTTGTCCATTACCCGGCCAGTTATGTATTCTGCGAGCAGAGCTTATTCGATCTTCCTAGATAATT